TTCCCCTATTTAAATGAATAATGGGCCTACAAGTGAATCAACAACCTTCTTAAATCAAAAAATTTATTCAAATGGACATCACATAGGGTTTTTACTTAGGTTTAACTATAGGTCGGGTCGGGTCAGGCTCGGTCTGGGCTATTTTGGCAAAGCCCGAGCCCGGCTCAAATTTTATGCGGGTCGGGCTTTTTGGCCCGAGGTTAAGCCCGCGAGCCAAAAAGCCTGTTCAAGCCCATCCGAGGGCCGGGCCAGCCGGTCGGACCACCCGACCCATGAACAGGTCTAATTGTGGAGAAGGGAGAATGTGGAATTTATAAAACCCTCCCATAACCCGCTCCATTGCCATCCCTACTCTACTTAAAGTTGCCAATGGGTCATGTCCATGTATGCAGTAATGCGGGCATGAACACTTAAAAAGGAAAATTCAAATTCATGGGTTTGCCATATTGCCTTGTGTGTTTGTTAATTGGGTCATGGATTGGACCCAATTCCTAGTGGTCTTGAATATATAGACCCGATTTAGATCATTGTCTTAATTGCTAAATAACATATGTTTGTGTTAGACAATGTATGCCCTTAACTCCAATCAAATTGATGTACACTGAATTTTATGTATTATAAAATTAGCTCATTATTGTTTTTATGTTTATAACAGTATATTTCTATGAATTATCCCTTAAATTTGACACCTAATAGACTTATGTGAGTATAGAAATTTCTCAACTATTCGATAAACTTGGGGAGTTTATCTCAACGAGCTTACACTGATGTGATGTCAAAATGGTGGAATAGTTTGTCTCAACTATCGGGATTAATTACACCCTAGGTACAGTTAGTGGGTATTTGCAATAAACATAGAACATGGACTAATTTTCAGTTATACTTTGGACATTGGAGATAGATAGGAGAAATTGGAAAATTACAATTAACCCTAGACTAATGATACTACATTAGGTCTTGAACTAAGCTGTTTTTTGATATGCCAACCAATGAGATCTTTGCAAGGGTCAAATACCTAGGTATGTTGGAGTACACCAGTGAGATCCTGTTGGGTTAAAAACTAGAAAGTTTCAATTAACTACAGACTTGATAATGATACTACACTTGGTCTTGAATTTCATTGTTTTTGATATGCCAACCAGTAAGATCCTGTTAGGGTCAAACACCTAGGTATGTTAGAGTAGTTAAGGATATTATCTAAGTAGGTAGTCATTATGATAGGATTAGCCCCTTTGTTAAACAAAATAAATATCAAGGTTTACACACTCTCTAATGAAAACCTAAAGCTGTCAACAATGGATTTCAACTCTTTTAAAATCACTTTGCAAAATGTATTTTTATATATTTATATTATATTATTTTATAAAAATGATTTAAAAACAAATTAATCCCGATACCCATCTAAGTATAGTGGATGGGTGTGTTGTTGGTAAAGCCTTCGTAGAGAAGCTTCAACTATGGAGAATTCAGTGCAACTACTAATAATTTCAGCTCTGATAAGGAAATTTATGAGCTTTGATTACTTTTTTCACAACAATAATAGTTTTATTTTCTTCCTCAATTCATGACATTTCCCATTCTTTTGTTCATAACTATTGAGCCTAGGTCGCTAGGCTTTGTTTTGGAAATAGAATGGAAAGTTAACAGGGCACATGAAAATGGCCTTTATCTTGAAACATTGCCTAAATTTCCAAAGTGCCCATCAAATGGAATTGGCTACAATAGGATATTTATCAAATTCAAACAAAGAATGGGTCTTAGGGTCGGAAAAATGAGTTGTGTATTGATTGTCCACCACAATTGGCTTAGGAAGGTGAGCTCCAATCTACAATGAAGAATGTTGCTCACTTTGAAGGTTGGGCTATTCTAGGGGTAACGATTTTTTTCGTTATTGCTGGCTACCTGACCTCCTGACTTGGATATGGAGACTACTTTGTAAAGGTTTAGTGATTAATGATGTTAGTTAAACGTTAAATCAATTTAGATTAATAGTTTTATTTTTTTTTCTTTTAAGAAAATCTTTTTTTTCAAAGAAAAAGCAAACTTTTAATTAAAAAAAGGTAAATTATAAAGACCCTCTTTTACTATGGGCTTAGTGACAAATACCACTTGAACTTTCATTTCTAATAAAGACCCCTCTGAACTTTCACTTTGTGACGAATACTCCCCTCTGTAGTTTCGTTTGTTAACTTCAAAAAAGAGTCTCATTCATCTATTTATATCCAAACTACCATTTCCTTACTTATTTGAATGATTTATGATTTCATTAGCTTTCTAAATATAACATTGAAGCCCTCTTGGTTGCTCCAATAGATCCTTGCAGATTTTTGGCTGGATTCATTATTCAGATGAAATGTTAGGGGTTTTTTTGAATTATTGGAGAAAGGAGTGGGCAATTTTTACATTTTAAGATGAAGAGAAACATTTCATGTGAGTGAAATGAATTATGTAAAAACTTTATTTTTTATGCCAATGAAATGATTCTTGTTATTTTAGATGGTTTCTTTTGGAGGAAATGAAGGTATTTTTGGTCAATTAGGGTTTAAGATAAAAGGGCCAAAAAAAGAAAATAAGGAAAATTTAAGTGGGTATTTTGGTAATTTACCACATTCTTTCATTTGACTTAATGGTCAAGTGGTATTTGTCACAAAGTGAAAGTTTAGAGGCCCTTTGTCACAAATAAAAGTTCAGGGTGGTATTTGTCACTAAACCCATCTCACAAGGGGGTCCTTGATGGGGAACACATCTCCATCAAGGCCCAAGATGGATGTTGGTTTTTCTCCCTGACAGGGATTGGGGTTGGGGATGGGAAATTAGTAAATACATTGGGTCAAAAAATGGCCTGTTTGAATTAAAATCAATTTGAATGGATTGGATAGACCAATAAAACATATTGAATTGGACTTGTCCAGACTCAATGGTCCAAAGTATTTATTGTATTGGATTTTACATGGTCTATTTATAATGGATTTATATTGGATTGGGTCAGATTGAAGCAATATCTGGTCCATTAACATAAGATAAAAGTACATGTGTCAATGGACCAGGTTTGAATTGGACTCAATCTGAATTAAAACCAATTTGAACAGTTTGAACAGTTCAAACATTAAATGGTCCAAAAGATTCATCTTGATTGGATTGGACTTGGTCCATCTATTATCGACTCATACTGGATTGGATCATATTGGGCCAGTATCCATTCCATTGACAACCCTAGAAAGCACCCTTTTCTCAATTTCTGGTTAAAACCTGGGCACCACACTATGGTTGTATTTGGTTTGAAGGAAAAAATAAGGAAAGAAAGGAAAAGATAAAAAAAAAAAAACGTATAAATCTTGTATAGGTTTTCCTACCTTTCCCTTCATTTTCTTAACTTTTCCTTCGATCGAAACATAACTTAGGGTTACCTTAGGCCCAGGCTCCCCAGCCTAAAATATATTTGTTAAACCTAAATCCAATCAAACGACCGGCAATCCAAGCCCACCTTGTATGAAATGTCAAATTGGGTGGGGCGGCCCAAATTGCACGCGTAGGCGGTGGAGCTGGGTTTGGATGTAGGATAGTCTAAAGATAATTTTATTTTTTTCTGTTCTTCTTTATTTTTGTTTTTTTTCAATAAGGAAATTACGTATTATGGTCTACAACATGTTAGAGCAAAAGTGGTCTTTTTCAAATGAAGAATTCTTTTGTATACTTTAATATTTTTCTTGTTGCACATTAAATTGATAATGTCACACTAAAATATGTACGTATTTATATATAAACTAGCCATATGCCTTATGTATATAGGTATATTTATATAAAGAATATATTTTAGTATCTAATAATATATACATAAGATTTATGCTATTTAATTTTTTTTTTGCGGTGTTAATTTCATTTGCATTGATGTAAATGCATGTAATGAAAGAAACAGAATGACACAATCCCCATTTTATATGAGAAGAATTAAGGCAGGAGGAAGGTGGTAAAAATTTATAGTACCATTGAGTACAAGTGAAAACAAAAACAAAAACTAATAGGAATTTTATATCAACTAAGAGTGCAAATTATTGTTGTAAATATATTAATGCAAAACTGAACTGGGGGCAAAATTTGCATTCATTTCAATATCTCAATTTGGGAAAAGTGCAAATAAGACACGGTAATACAAAGTTTAAAATTATTTGTATCTGCACTCTTCCCAAACAAGAAAGGCAACACGACAAATCATTTAAATCAGCCACAGATTGCAGAGTATTACATACCACCAGCAGGCACCAACCATGGACATGGAATTGAATTGATTCCTTAATTCTCCATTAGGTTATAGGAATTATCCACTTATTAAACATTCAATATAAAGGGCCCACTTAAAATTCTTTGCTTGTCTTGACAAGCAACATCCAGTTAAGCTTTCTGATCAATGGGATTCGAGAGACCAACAACAGAGAATCACGGAGGTCTCTCGGCTATTTTATATTTTTATTGACCTCTATCTCTATCTGATGATCTGGTGTTCTCTCATTACGACACTCAACGTACGGAGCTTCAGTCAGGTCAAGATACATGAGCTTTGTCTACCTAATCCACGCTTCTTAATCCTTTTTCGCAGCATCTACTCAACTATGTCTGTCTGAGATGTCTATCCACATATATATATATAGATAATAGAATAGAATAACGAAGTTGTTGAAGGGAGAAGATAAGCCCTGAGCCCTGAGGAGTGAGGACTGGATTGGATTTGTTGACAATTAATGCAGTCAAAAAGCCCTGAGGTCGTCTTTTGGATTTGGGCTTGTTCAGTTTGTGATGTGACATGGTGTGTTTGGTCAATTCACGTAACGGGTTTTGTTCACCAACTCGCTACTCTTCTCGAGTTTCAGTTTTACGTTAACCTGTCTATTCTGCTTACGTGAGTGAGTCATTGTGAGTTTAGTCACATTCAACTATACTTATATATATATAACGTAAGATTGTCTATGTTAATTGTTATATACCCAATCTTCTTCCATTCTTGTTCGTGTTTTCTCTTTAAACTCTCTCCTTCTTCTCTCATTAACTCACTCTCTTCTCTCTCTTGCCCCTATCCAACCCTTCCATTAAACCACCTCATAAGGGCTCTAACCCATCTCCATTAGCCACGTCATCAAGGTTTTGCAATCGTGGCAGAAAAGGCTTCCCAACACCGAATTTTGGCTCTGTTCAACTGAAACGGACTGCAGGGGTCTGAATATAGAAGTTTTTACAGTCTTCATGATCTAGGTAAGGAACTAAAACACCGATATCAGTCATCTCTTGTTTCATTGGTTGTTGCTTTTCTTACGATTTGTATGTAGAAAACGGATTCTGGGAGAGTCGCCGGCCGGCATCCACAGTATCCGTGTAAGAAACAAAATGCAAGAATCGATCCTCCCTTATTTCGCCAGTTTTTTTCCTTTTCCACTTGTTTCATGTTAAAAACAGAATCTAGTTCCAACATCAATAGTGCATTTTGTGCCAATGTATGGTGTCTTGTTGCCCGGACATCACCATTTTGTTGGCCTGTGAACACTGTATAGCCCCTTACCGGGTGAAGAAGACTAGTTATATGGTTCGGGTTTATCCTATACACAGATCCACCCTTGACCCATATAACTTAAGTTGTTATTCTGTTAAGGTTCGATCTAGCCCGACTGCATATTGTTTCGCCTAGATTGGACTGTTAATTAGTTTGGTTATTTTTGTTTATAGCGACTTCGTTAAGTTAATTAATGTTAATGTTAAGTTATTTTAGTTAAGTTAACTAAAGGTAAAGGGTAAGTTAGTCATTATAAAATTGTTGAGCTACTACTTTAATTTATTTACATTTAGTAGGCAGTGAGCAGCACTATGCTGTTTGGTAAGGTGATTTTCATCACTGTTTTTTATGTATGTTCTGACAGGTAAGCACCACATAGGATACACATCAGTCAACCGTGGGGGGAAATGGTTCATCGATGCATGAAATGCCAAATGCATCGGTGAGGTCCCGATTTTCAAGGCATGCCCAATTTTTTAATAATCTGCTGAACCAAACAGCCTATGTGGATCCGATGTGGCACCATTTTTTTTTTTGAAAAACGGCCATGGTTCCAAACATCCCCAAAAACGGTGTTGGGCATGTGTGAATTGTAAGCACCGTTTTCAGGGTGTTTGGTTTCGTGGGCGTTTATTCAATAAACGCTGCCACATATGCCCCACTTCAGCAGTTTCCCTCTCTTGCTCTTCCGTATGCATCGAGAATGGCAAAAGTGGACTTCGGTTTTTGTACACGCCTATCGTTTGGAGAAGCTATTTTTTAAAGTTTTCACAAACGGTTAGGCGTTTTTTCACTATTACGTTGATGTGGTGCCTAGTGCACCTAGTTGTCATAAACGGTTGTAATTATTACCTTTCTCGGTTTTGCAAGCAAATAAAATACAAACGTTGAATGAAAAAATGTAAACGGAACCAAAAACATACTTTGTTTGGAAGCGGTGCTGCCACACAAATTATTTTTTGGGAAAACAACACTAGTTTTGTTTGGTACCAATGTTGTAGAGCTGTTTTCAATATTGGTCATATTATCTAACGTCCAAGATGATGCCACATCATTGCACTGTTGGCAGTAACAAACTGTTTTTTAAGAAAACATCAAATTTAGCGTTGCTTTAGACCGTACTTTCCTGATTCCCAAGGCATGGTCTGAAGCAACATTTTTTATCGAAAATGGTACCAAATAAGAGGTCATTTTTTGAAGCATTGTTGTTTCTGATGTGGTGCCTACATGGTGTCGTTTTCTTAGAAAACAACGTCGATGCCAAACACCCACTTAGATAACTTTGAATTTTATTATGTTTAGATGAATTTTAATTTAATATAATTTCATCAAAATAATAATAATAGTAATAATAGTAATAATAATAATAATAATAATAATAATAATTGAATTTATATAGTTTTATTTCTTCCGTATTAGTTTAATTAAATTTAAATATTAATTAATTATATTTAGATAAATTTATATAAATTTAAGTAAAAGTAAGGTACGTCATTTTGTTAAGTTCATTAATACAATATATTAATTTGGCTTAGTTAATTTAGTTTATAGTACCTTGGTAATTTAATTTAACTAATTTAAAATAGTTACATAAAATAATTAATGTACTTAAAATATATCATTAAGTTCACGGTTTTAACCTGGCCCTTAATTCAATTAATTAGTTTAGATGATAATTAATCTTCCTTCTCTTTATTTAACAGTAAATTATTTAGTAATTATTAAAAATTACCAGAAATTATCAAAGGATTATTGTTAAATTAAAAATAATTACTGAAAATTACCATAAATTAGCAGCAATTATTCAATTTTTATCTAATTGTAATTTATTAATAATTATTGAAAATTACCAAAAATTATCAGTAATTTTTTAAAATTACCAGAAATTACCAATTAATTATTGTTAAATTAACAGTAATCATTGAAAATTAGCATAAATTATCAGTATATTATTGTTAATTTATTCACTTTATTTAACAGTAAAATATTAGTAATTATTGGAAATTACCAAAAATTATTTATAAAGTAGGAAAATTATAAGACTAAAATATGTAAAATTTACAATTTAGAACAATAAGTAAAAGATTGTCATCTAAAAAGTTAGTAAGTTTAGTAAAATTTAATAAAAGCATAATGAAATTAAATAAAAATAAAATTTTGATTAATTTAAAAATTAGGTTCATAGGCCTTGAAACCCAAAACTTAGAATTTATGTTGAGTGCTTGTGCTTTTCTTATGAATTAGTTAAGAAATTTGTATTAATATCTTTAAGAATATGGTTGGGTATGTTTGGGTATATTTGGATCTATTTGAAAGGATTATAAATTATTATTTTATTTTTTAAATGGAATGGAGTAAAAATAAAAAATAAAATGAATTTAACATCTAAAAGAAATGGTGGGGAGTGAAGATCCCCATGGACATGGGGACGGATTTTTCTTTTCTTTTTCTTCTTTTTTTTTTGCAAGGACATGAATGAGAGTGGCTCTCTCTATCCCCACCTGTCTCATTGCCATTCCTATATGAAATTATAAAATATAATTTTATATTATTTCACTGACCTGGGTTTTGGCTAAGCCTAACTCTCCCAACCTTTATATTGAATTTTCTAAAATGGCCCTAATGTTTAACATAATTGATATTTTAGTTATTGGAAGTCTGGATGTTTGTTATGTTATTTTGGTTGCTTAATGCCGTATAAATGGATTAGATCATGATCCAATTCGAATTCAAATTCAATTCTCTCTTATTGGATTTTTAGATTGAATCAAATAAAAAAATATGATCCATTTAAAAAATGGATTGAATTCAATTCACCCATATCCGGTTCAACAAAATCCAATCCAATCTGATTATGTTATAGACTATTTTATTTCTTTCCTCCTGTTAATAATTTGCTAGATTCACATACATACGGCTAATCCAATCAAATTTGAATATCTGTCATCTTTGTGAGATCCATTGTTTCATCCAATCAGACAGGATATAGGATTTACATTATCGGATCATATTTGGATATTACCCAATTCAATCCATTTGCATCCCAATATATAACAAACAATTTTTATTAAGTTTAGTAACTTTACTAATTTGATGCGGGTCAACCCGTTTCACCCTCAAATGTAGAAAGAGGAGGACCGAGGAGGATAATTTTGAATTTTTCAAATACAGGGAGGGATTGTGGAGACAGGGAGAGTCTGAAATTTACAAAACTCTCAACCCGCCCCATTGCCATTGCTAACGGGTTGAGTCCATATATGCCGTAATGCAGACCTGAATAAAATTCAAAATTGTGGATTTACTCTTCCTTGCGTATTTGCTAAGTGGGTCATGGATTGGACCCGATTAATCTATAGACCCAATTTAGACCTATGTCTATTTCAATTGCGAGATTACATGGTGATTGGTAGGGGTGAGCAAAAAAAAAATCAAAAAATTGAACCAATCAAAAAAGTCGACTGAAACCAAATAAAAATTCAGTTAACCAAATCGATCGGTTCGATTTGGCTTTAGTGTTTTAAAAAATCAAAAGTATTGATTCGGCTTCGATTAACCAATATAAAAAACCGGTTACCGAACTGACTGGTATACATATATGTCTATATATCTTATATATATTTATGTATATTATATATATTTTACATATATATTTTATATATTATAAATTAATAAATATACATTATATATTATAATATATGAAATATTATTTATTATTTAAAATATAATGTTTTATATATATATTTATATATTTATAATATATTTTATAAAAATTAAAAAACTAAAAAATTGATAAACCGAACTGTTCGATTGACTTTGGTTTGATTTTAGTTATCGATTTTCCAAAAACCGATATAGTACCGGTTCTGTTAAAAAAGGGCCCACGGTTAGGTTAACCGAACCGTGAGCATCCTTCCACAGATAAAACCAAAGACTACGGGATCATGCTTGTATTGTTTGTGAGATTACATGGTCAATGATTTCTATTTCTCACTATCGGACGGTTGGAAACATCCGTTAAATGGTCACGTCACGCAGATAAAATTCCACATCATTGGATGGTTGAGATTGCATCACAAAGTAAGCTGGTGGAGATACTAAACGCACGACAAAAGATGATAAATATAACGCTCATTCCAAATATAAAATCTAGAAATCACCTGCTCTTTGCTTCGAGAATTGAGAGAATAACCATCTCCAAAGGAAAAACGACGACCAAAAAAAAAAACATCTTAATTGTTCCTTAAATCTTCTCTTCTTCATCGCCACTCTTCCTGAACCTGAAGACTGAATCTTCTCTTCGACTTCAAATGACAGAATTCCGTGATTGAAGAATCCCAGAAATTCCAAAATGAGCTCTGCAGAAGGTGAGCATCGTTCTGATCCTACATTCGACAGGCTTCCCTTTTGTTTTCTTCTGAAGATTAATGGTTTTAACTTTTTAATTTCTTTTTTCCTGTAGAAACTGAAACAGCCCAGGAAAGCGTAGAGAAAGAATCCCAGGATGGTGGTCTTGGAAAACCGGATTTCCATGAGGGTCACAGCTCTCCAAGAGGTGTTCTGGAAATCCCTGTTCTGGGTTCAGAGAATAGTAGCAGTAGCAGCAGCTGCAGCCACTCTTCTACGGAGAAACTGATCCCTCTGCAAGAGCAAACTTCAGTTTCGGAATCTCACGGGTTACACTGGAGGAATTTGATCAACGTAATAAAGAAGAAATCAATGAGAAGGCTCTCTACGTTTCCCATGTCGACGAATTCTGAATTATCTAAAAAGAATCTGCGCAGGAAGATATCTCAGGTTCAAAGTGCAGAAGATAGAATTCAGTGTACGAGTGTGCCGGTGGCAAAGCCTTCATGGAGGAGCTTCAGCTATGGGGAGCTCGCTGCCGCTACTAATGGTTTCAGCTCCGGTAAGGAAAATTTGGAGCCTCTTCGATTACTTTTTAATAAATAATAATAGTTTTATTTTCTTCTGCAATTCATGTCATTTCCTATTAGTACATTTATCACTATTGGGTCTAGGCCGCCTGGCTTTGCCTTGAAAATGGATTAGAAAGTTAACAGGGCCCATGAAAATGGCCTTTATCTTGAAACATTAGCTAAATTACCAAAGTGCCCATGAAATGGACTTGCCTAGGATAGCCGGATAGGATGATATCAAATTAAAACAAAGAATGGGCTTATGGTTGGAGAAATGGGTCATGTATCGACTTTCCACATTGGGCTCAGAAGGTGAGCTCCAGTCCACTTTGAAGGTTGGGCTATTCTCGTAGGGATGGCAATTTTTCTCGTTCCTACCCGGAGACTGCTCTGGTAGGATTTTGTGATTAACGATGTTAGTTAAATGTTAAATTAATTTAGGTTAATAATTTTGTTTCTTTCTTTTAAAAATATATTTTTTTTCTCAAAGAAAAAACAAACGAACCCTGATGGGGAAGAGTTCACATCTCCTCCCCACGAGGGGCCGCCTCACAGAACATCTCCGTCGTGTATTGAGAATATCTCCCGATGATGACATTATCAATTTTGGTACTATCATCGGGAGATGTTCCAATATACGGTGGGGATGTGCTGTGGGGCGGCCCCTTGTGGGGAGGAGATGTGATCTCAATGGATTATCTGAAGAGATGAGAGATCCATCCTATGGACGCCCAAAGATTGCGGAATAAGGGGCGAATTTCAAAAATTTTATCTCTCCCTTCAACTGGGAATCGTATTCCC